ATTCATTTTTTGTTTAGCTTTTTTATTTAGTATTTCATTTTATTCTGTTTAGCTTTAATGGTTATTTCAATTCAGTAATTTTAGTACTTCAACTTAAACTCATTTTCAGTTAGTTGCCAAGACAATATTTTTTAATTTAAGTTTTTCAGCTAATATGTATATTTAATTTTATATTTTAGCTTTATTTCAATTAACAACAACCTTTTAAATCTTTTTATTTTTAGTTTACAAAAACAACACATTATATATATATATATATATACAGTATATATAGTTATACATTATATATATAATTAGTATTATTTATTTTTATTTATTTATTTTGGAAATATGACCTGGACATGTTCTTATCAGTTTCATGAGATTGTCTATTTAAAGGTTTATTGTACTAAAATAATGCAAATAAAAAAATTCTGAATAGCTGAATTAATCCTAACGTAAGATGCTTTTTTTATGATAATATTGGAATAAATAAGATCATTTTTTTTCTTTTTCCAGAGTAATGTTTGTAGAATTAGTTTTATGAGAGAATAATTTTCTCAGTACATTTAGTGTAGGATTTACCCTGAATTGTTGACTTTCAGAGATCAGTCTGTCTTGTGTGTAGTTGTGTAAGCAGAGCTCTAGATGGCAGTGCTGAATAGGCACAAACTCTCTCTGTCAGTCTGTGTCTCTTAATGCTGAACCAAACTCAAGATCATCACACGCCTTCATTAAGAGCATAAACACTTACTGAACATTTACAGAAATTACATATGCACAGAGGACGAGCATCGCTGATCGGAGAAGAAAGAAAAATCTAGAAGAAATGGTGATGCTTAGCAAGTGTAATCTCTTTTGTTTGTGCTGTTTTCTTTAGATGCGTACGCACACACACACACACACACGAGAGAGGCGAAAGGCTGGACATTTTCTCCTCTCAGCAGTGGTTGCTGTTGGTTACGTGGTGAAACTGTGGCCATTAAGGCTCATTATGTGGTTAGACGTGGCTCCCAAAATCATCCTCACACTCTTCCCTCTGAAGTTTGTCCTTCTTTTCTT